AAATCTAGGATGTTGTCTAAGACGTCTTTGTGTGGCCAGGTTGTCTTAAGTGCTGGGTGGTGATGGAGGTCTTAAGTGCTGGGTGGTGATGGAGGTAATGTCTTCAGTCCTCTACGACAGCCAACTGCGCCAAGTTCTCACCTTCCCTGGATACATACTGCCAATCAATGTAATGGAATACAAACACCCTACTTCAGTGGCTGTCTCTCTCACTGTACCTTGTCCACTGTGGGCCGTGGGCATCACTTCTCTCAGTCTCTCTCTCTCTCTCTCTCTCTCTCTCTCTCTCTCTCTCTCTCTCTCTCTCTCTCTCTCTCTCTCTCTCTCTCTCTCTCTCTCTCTCTCTCTCTCTCTCTCTCACACACACACACACACACACACACACACACACACACACACACACACACACACACACACAGGACTCGCGTGAACCAGTTATCATAGTGACACTGAGACACCAGTGGCCAATCTACCAGTGCGCGTGTAACACGCCACCAGGTCTGCCCCTCACGCCCAAGAGAGGGAAGAGAGAAGTAGGCAAGATAACACAGGAGGGAAGATAGAGGGGCTAAAGCAAAAGGGATTTTAAATATGTTTTTGTATATTATTCTACCTAAAAACGTTACCATTCGTATTTACAATACTAATATATATATTCCTCTCTTCAGCTCTCCATGGAGAGAGTTAGAGATATATGTAGCAGCACATAGAGAAGCGAGTTACTGAACAGTCACACACCTGACTGTAGTACTCTGACAATGATGACCTGCATACATACACCCACGTCTCTCTTACACAGGAGTAGAGGTCACTTCTCCTCCATATAGAGCAGTGGGTCGTTAAGCGCTACTCCACAGGAGGGAGTGAGAGAGGTGGGGGGGGGGGGGGGGGGGATGTAGAGGTCAGGCTTCGTCTAAAAAATAACTCTGACATTTGTTCTTGGTTGACGCAAAACTTAACATTTATCTCAGGTGTCCCAGCTGCTCCCCACCCCGGGTCCAGCTGCGCCTCACCCCGGGTCCAGCTGCGCCTCACCCCGGGTCCAGCTGCGCCTCACCCCGGGTCCAGCTGCGCCTCACCCCGGGTCCAGCTGCGCCTCACCCCGGGTCCAGCTGCGCCTCACCCCGGGTCCAGCTGCTGCGCCACACCCCGGGTCCAGCTGCGCCTCACCCCGGGTCCAGCTGCGCCTCACTCCGGGTCCAGATGCGCCTCACCCCGGGGCCAGCTGCTCCTCACCCCGGGGCCAGCTGCGCCTCACCCCGGGCCAGCTGCTCCTCACCCCGGGCCAGCTGCGCCTCACCCCTGGGCCAGCTGCGCCTCACCCCGGGGCCAGCTGCTCCTCACCCCGGGGCCAGCTGCTCCTCACCCCGGGGCCAGCTGCGCCTCACCCCGGGCCAGCTGCTCCTCACCCCGGGCCAGCTGCTCCTCCTCACCCCGGGCCAGCTGCGCCTCACCCCGGGGCAGCTGCGCCTCACCCCGGGCCCAGCTCCTCCTCACCCCGGGCCAGCTGCGCCTCACCCCGGGGCAGCTGCTCCTCACCCCGGGGCCAGCTGCGCCTCACCCACCAGCTGCGGGGCCAGCTGCGCCTCACCCCGGGCCAGCTGCGCCTCACCCCGGGCCAGCTGCTCACCGCGGACCCAAGTCTTACGTCATAGCTGCCCACCTTGCAAGACTTCTCCGCCGTTTTCTATTGGGTTGGGAGCGGCAGGTTTTATGTGCGCGCGTTTGAGCTTACGAGACCCATATTGAGTTACCTGGGAAGTCTCTTCAAGAGCAGCAAATGACGTTTATTTCCAGCCGGCTGCAAAGTTTTTGGTGAGTGGGTACTTAGGGTTAGGGTTTGGGGTGGGCGGGAAGAGGATTGGGTTGGCACAGGTTCGGGTACCTTTATAGGGTCGCATGGGACTATATGGTATTGGTGCTGAGTAAGATCTTACGACCTCTATGTACAATATTGTAACTTTTGCTGCTCGACTTACAGACCCAGTAAAGTAAAATGTACACTGGTTTTTATTGTGTTATTAATATGTTTAGGTACATCTGAAATTATACAGCCACCATAGACTATATGAAATATGGCATAGTTTGTTTAAGTAGTGAATAAAGTAGCACTGATAGGTACCTGGGAAAGGGAGCCGGTCGGCCGAGCGGACAGCACGCTGGACTTGTGATCCTGTGGTCCTGGGTTCGATCCCAGGCGCCGGCGAGAAACAATGGGCAGAGTTTCTTTCACCCTATGCCCCTGTTACCTAGCAATAAAAATAGGTACCTGGGTGTTAGTCAGCTGTCACGGGCTGCTTCCTGGGGGTGGAGGCCTGGTCGAGGACCGGGCCGCGGGGACACTAAAAAGCCCCGAAATCATCTCAAGATAACCTCAAGATATCTTATCATAGGTAGTCTCTATAAATCAAATTTTGGGTGCATTATGACGATATCGTCAAGAACACGAGAATTAATAGCGAGAGATAGTGACCCAGTTCCTGCTCGCAGAGTTTGTACCTGGAGTGCTCAGGATTGGGAGATCCGTCACCTCATCTTGAGGTCATCTTGAGATGATTTCGGGGCTTTAGTGTCCCCGCGGCCCGGTCCTCGACCAGGCCTGCACCCCCAGGAAACAGCCCGTGACAGCTGACTAACACCCAGGTACCTATTTTTACTGCTAGGTAACAGGGGCATAGGGTGAAAGAAACTCTGCCCATTGTTTCTCGCCGGCGCCTGGGATCGAACCCAGGACCACAGGATCACAAGTCCTGCGTGCTGTCCGCTCGGCCGACCGGCACCTGTAGCCACCAGCCACAGGTGGCTGGTGGCTACAGGTGCGACCTTAACCTGATCCTGGCAACCACTGTGTCCCACAGTCTGGTCGACATTTTGTGCTGCACATGAACGTTTCGGATGTAAACAAATCATAGCTTTTTATACTGCTGCTTTCAGGCCTTTGAGAGGCAATAATTTCTGTTCTATGAGACCTGAGTGTTAGGAACCAGATAGTCTTAACAACAGACATTGGGATGCCTCAGTTTACCTCACCATCATTGGTACATATTAGTAAGCTATGTTTGTGTCATTATGACGTGGTATGTGTATGGGAGATGGTACCCATACAAGAGAGATTCTAAAACCTTTATTCTGTGCAGTGAGCTGGATACTTAAGATTGCTATTAAGAGGTTTTGCTGTCAATCTTGCAGGAGAAGATTTCAAGCGCTTGAAGACCAGAATTTGAATCACAAAATTTATTCCTCTTCCTGTCGTTTTAAGCATACTGGTAGCTAGGTGCAGTGTAACTAGTTCTGTGTGTGTAGAGTGCAGCCAGTTGTGTAACCTAACGCTGACAGTGCCTGCAAGTATTATTTTTTTTTTTTGAGATATACACAAGAGTTGTTACATTCTTGTACAGCCACTAGTACGCGTAGCGTTTCGGGCAAGTCCTTAATCCTATGGTCCCTGGAATACGATCCCCCTGCCGCGAAGAATCGTTTTTTCATCCAAGTACATCCCGGCCAGGATACGAACCCATGACATAGCGCTCGCGGAACGCCAGGCGAGTGTCTTACCACTACACCACGGAGACTGTTCTGTTATTTCTACTGTTATTATCGGAGACTGTTATTATTTCTACAAAACCTACAAATTGCTCCAGTGTGTCCTGCTGATGATCGCTCTCACCTATTGATTCAGACACATTGCTCATGAGATTCTAATTTTGTATAGATATTTATCTAGATAAGATATCTAGATATTTATCTAGATTTATCTAGATTTATTTAGATAAGGTTCATGTGCATTTGTGCAGCTAACCTAAACAAGGAGAACAATGTGTGTCAAGAACTTGCTACCCTAAACTATATGAAGTTCGATAGTACAGTACAGTGTGTTAAGTACTAGCTACGTGATGCTAACAATCCCCATCTCGCAGGAAGGTACTTCATACAGGGTCATGTGAGGAGTAGCCTGTACTACCAAATTATGGGCACATTATGAGGATATCCTCAAAAACAGCAGCGTTAAGGAGTAATTTCAACAATAGCGCCGCAACAGTCTACGGTCCTGCCCACCCACATTTCATTACCTTGGCTCTTAACTTTGCCTCTACGGGACACTAAGGATTGAAGTCACTCTAATTAATAATAAATCCTTATAGAATGGTTGAAGACTAGAACACAAAATCCATACACGAAGACAACGTTGTCACACAGAGTCGCTATGGACGCATAGAGCCGCTATGGACGCATAGAGCCGCTATGGACGCATAGAGCCGCTATGGACGCATAGAGCCGCTATGGACGCATAGAGCCGCTATGGACGCATAGAGCCGCTATGGACGCATAGAGCCGCTATGGACGCATAGAGCCGCTATGGACGCATAGAGCCGCTATGGACGCATAGAGCCGCTATGGACGCATAGAGCCGCTATGGACGCATAGAGCCGCTATGGACGCACAGAGCCGCTATGGACGCACAGAGCCGCTATGGACGCACAGAGACACTGTGGAGCCACAGAGGCAGCTATGGATACACAGAGACACAGGGACAGCTATGGACCTATCAATGCGTGAGTTGGTATTCATCAGAGCTCGTGCTACAGAAAGATATAAATACTTGTGAAAATTCCCGTACACGATTATAAGCCCACAAGTGCATGTCTACAGACAGATAAACTGACAGCGACAGACAGATAAATAATTATGAGGAGAGACAGCTAAGACAGTACGACTATATTACGTTTGTATTGGACTATTTTCCCCCGTCTGACATTCAATCTTGCTCTGTCAACATCACTATTTCTTTACATTTTGTAGAAAACAAATGAATAAAACCCAAACATTTATAAACCTAAAGCGCTTACACAGGTACAAAATGATTTTCAACTCAATTGTTTCATATTGAACTATTTCCTTTTAAATAAGTTACCGCAATATTTTGTACAATACATGTTTGTGTACAAGATATTCCAGAGGTGAAAGTGAGTGATGTTTCCTTTATTGTCATGTGGTGATGTTTAGCCTTTGCACGTCCCTTTGTCGTCTAGCTGGTCGACGTCTAGCTGGTCGACGTCACGCTGGTCGACGTCACGCTGGTCGACGTCACGCTGGTCGACGTCACGCTGGTCGACGTCACGCTGGTCGACGTCTAGCTGGTCGACGTCTAGCTGGTCGACGTCACGCTGGTCGACGTCTAGCTGGTCGACGTCACGCTGGTCGACGTCACGCTGGTCGACGTCACGCTGGTCGACGTCACGCTGGTCGACGTCTAGCTGGTCGACGTCTAGCTGGTCGACGTCACGCTGGTCGACGTCTAGCTGGTCGACGTCTAGCTGGTCGACGTCTAGCTGGTCGACGTCTAGCTGGTCGACGTCACGCTGGTCGACGTCACGCTGGTCGACGTCTAGCTGGTCGACGTCACGCTGGTCGACGTCACGCTGGTCGACGTCACGCTGGTCGACGTCTAGCTGGTCGACGTCACGCTGGTCGACGTCACGCTGGTCGACGTCTAGCTGGTCGACGTCAACTTGCACAGACGTGGCCGGACATTTACAGTGCTAACCAGCATATATACGATAAGGTAGAGAGGAGAGGCGGCCGTCCGGAGCACTATCCACACGGGGCTCGGACTGACCTATGACGCAGCCCTCTTCTATCCCTGGTCTTTAGAGTATAAAAGATTTACTGTAATCCGTAGAGACGAGGCCGCGCTGGGCTTTGTTTAGTGGTCAGGTAAGGTCACTGCGGCCTACCTGTGGCAGCACGCTCTGCTCACGCCACGGACCTGACGCCACGGACCTGACGCCACGGACCTGACGCCAGGGGCCTGACGCCAGGGGCCTGACGCCAGGGGCCTGACGCCAGGGGCCTGACGCCAGGGGCCTGACGCCAGGGGCCTGACGCCACGGACCTGACGCCACGGACCAGACGTCACGGACCAGACGTCACGGACCAGACGTCACGGACCAGACGTCACGGACCAGACGTCACGGACCAGACGTCACGGACCAGACGTCACGGACCAGACGTCACGGACCAAGCCAACGTAACAACCTAAACCAATGATTTGTGTTTTGAAACTCTCGTTTGACTGATGAAGATTACGCCACCAAAGAGATGGCACGGGCAGGAATAACCCGTATTCAAAACACTTCATAAGAAGTTAGGTTTTAATGGTGTCTCTGCGAATACTTGTACTCTTCTAATACTCCTAATAGACTCCTTTCAGACTATTTTTTATTTTTGTAGTTTGTTAATGACAAAGAGTACTTTTTATGTCGCGAGCAAGTCCCTTCAGTATATTTGCCTACTCTACAATGAAATTTCCTCTATTATGCACCCCATTAAGTGGAAAGGTGGAAAGCGGTGGGGGCAAGGGTTAAAGAGAGACATAATGGGTTCAGGAACTGAACTCCATAGTTTCTTTAGCTAATCAAGTGACAATTTTTTTAAGCTAATTACACAATTGTGAATTTTACTCCCACGTGTTCATATATACAAATACACATACAAATTAATTAATCTTTTTATATCACAAGTGATCAACAAGAGGGTCACAACAGTCACTATACAAGGCACTTTACATCTATGGTGAGTCACACAGTTACTAGTCTTGCTGCACACCCACCCAACTGGGCGGCAGCTTTACAGTCATGTGCTCCACACCCACCCAACTGGGCGGCAGCTTTACATTCATGTGCTCCACACCCACCCAACTGGGCGGCAGCTTTACAGTCATGTGCTCCACACCCACCCAACTGGGCGGCAGCTTTACAGTCATATGCTCCACACCCACCCAACTGGGCGGCAGCTTTACATTCATGTGCTCCACACCCACCCAACTGGGCGGCAGCTTTACAGTCATGTGCTCCACACCCACCCAACTGGGCGGCAGCTTTACAGTCATGTGCTCCACACCCACCCAACTGGGCGGCAGCTTTACAGTCATGTGCTCCACACCCACCCAACTGGGCGGCAGCTTTACTGTCATATGCTCCACACCCACCCAACTGGGCGGCAGCTTTACAGTCATGTGCTCCACACCCACCCAACTGGGCCGCAGCTTTACAGTCATGTGCTCCACACCCACCCAACTGGGCGGCAGCTTTACAGTCATGTGCTCCACACCCACCCAACTGGGCGGCAGCTTTACAGTCATGTGCTCCACACCCACCCAACTGGGCGGCAGCTTTACAGTAATGTGCTCCACACCCACCCAACTGGGCGGCAGCTTTACAGTCATGTACTCCACACCCACCCAACTGGGCGGCAGCTTTACAGTCATGTGCTCCACACCCACCCAACTGGGCCGCAGCTTTACAGTCATGTGCTCCACACCCACCCAACTGGGCGGCAGCTTTACAGTCATGTGCTCCACACCCACCCAACTGAGCGGCAGCTTAACAGTCATGTGCTCCACACCCACCCAACTGGGCGGCAGCTTTACAGGCATGTGCTCCACACCCACCCAACTGAGCGGCAGCTTTACAGTCATGTGCTCCACACCCACCCAACTGGGCGGCAGCTTTACAGTCATGTGCTCCACACCCACCCTACTGGGCGGCAGCTTTACAGTTATGTACTCCACACCCACCCAACTGGGCGGCAGTTTTACAGTCATGTGCTCCACACCCACCCAACTGGGCAGCAGCTTTACAGTCATGTGCTCCACACCCACCCAACTGGGCGGCAGCTTTACAGGCATGTGCTCCACACCCACCCAACTGGGCGGCAGCTTTACAGTCATGTGCTCCACACCCACCCAACTGGGCGGCAGCGTTACAGTCATGTCCTCCACACCCACCCAACTGGGCGGCAGCTTTACAGTCATGTGCTCCACACCCACCCAACTGGGCGGCAGCTTTACAGTCATGTGCTCCACACCCACCCAACTGGGCAGCAGCTTTACAGTCATGTGCTCCACACCCACCCTACTGGGCGGCAGCTTTACAGTTATGTACTCCACACCCACCCAACTGGGCGGCAGCTTTACAGTCATGTGCTCCACACCCACCCAACTGGGCGGCAGCTTTACAGTCATGTGCTCCACACCCACCCAACTGGGCGGCAGCTTTACAGTCATGTGCTGCACACCCACCCAACTGGGCGGCAGCTTTACAGTCATGTGCTCCACACCCACCCAACTGGGCGGCAGCTTTACAGTCATGTGCTCCACACCCACCCAACTGGGCGGCAGCTTTACAGGCATGTGCTCCACACCCACCCAACTGGGCGGCAGCTTTACAGTCATGTGCTCCACACCCACCCAACTGGGCGGCAGCGTTACAGTCATGTCCTCCACACCCACCCAACTGTGTGGCAGCTTTACAGTTATGTGTTCCACACCCACCCAACTGGGCGGCAGATTTACAGTGTTCATTAGTGTAGTTATAATCTATTTAATCTATATACATTTAATGGTGAAAGTGTAAATATATTGGTAAAGGGAATAGTGTAATGTTTATCCCCTCCCCCCCCCCCTTATTCTTTATTGCACTATACAGTCAGTTCTTGAAAGCCTATTAACGTCTTGGGGTCGGATACACTTAAAGAGATTAATCCATCAAGGACCCGGTTACTGATCCTAAGTGGCCTTAACAATCAGTGTCCAGTATCTGGCGTCTAGGAGCTGGAGCCTTGCACTCCAAGAACAGTGTTCAGTATCTGGCGTCTAGGAGCTGGAGCCTTGCACTCCAAGAACAGTGTTCAGTATCTGGCGTCTAGGAGCTGGAGCCTTGCACTCCAAGAACAGTGTTCAGTAGCTGGTGTCTAGGAGCTGGAGCCTTGCACTCCAAGAACAGTGTTCAGTATCTGGCGTCTAGGAGCTGGAGCCTTGCACTCCAAGATCAGTGTTCAGTATCTGGCGTCTAGGAGCTGGAGCCTTGCACTCCAAGAACAGTGTTCAGTATCTGGCGTCTAGGAGCTGGAGCCTTGCACTCCAAGATCAGTGTTCAGTATCTGGCGTCTAGGAGCTGGAGCCTTGCACTCCAAGAACAGTGTTCAGTATCTGGCGTCTAGGAGCTGGAGCCTTGCACTCCAAGAACAGTGTTCAGTATCTGGCGTCTAGGAGCTGGAGCCTTGCACTCCAAGAACAGTGTTCAGTATCTGGCGTCTAGGAGCTGGAGCCTTGCACTCCAAGAACAGTGTTCAGTAGCTGGTGTGAAGGAACTGGAAGATGCATTGAAATTCCTGAAGGTTGCTCCTACGTTCGTCAGGCTTGCATGTTCTTCAGGCGATAGTTCCTTTTCTCTCTCTTGTTTAAAAAGCTGCTTTCACCTTGACTGTAACTCGTGAATCGTCACCCTTGCTTCCTCCCCTTTCTCTCCAAGCAGGTGGTTCATATTCTCTAAGAGCAACACATGTCCGTGGACCGGTCTTGAGGGACATTAATGCCAACATTTCTGCTGGCAGTGTATCTCTGGGTGAAGTTTGTCGAGCAATATATCACACACTTGAGGCCGCTCCACCTAATATTCCTACCGACTTTTACGTTTAATAAATCCCCCTTCCTTTATGGTCACGGCCACCAGTCCACCCACCTTCCCTTCTGAACTTTGTCATCGTGTCGTAAGTGTATTAAGTTTGTGGGAGAGGAACTGTGTTCTGTGGCTGGTGTTTCCGAAGTAGCAACTCTGTAAGCGCCTCTCACAGAGTCTGTACGCTAACTGGTCTCTAATTTACAGCAGCTTCTCTCTTCCAATTTATAATATTGGTGTGAGCGCGGGGGTTCCTCGTGCAATGTGGCCGTCTCCAGGGGACCTTGGCTTGTGGCTTGAGTTATGTTAGCCCACTGCGCTACCACCTGTTTCCTCCCCTGGTTATTGTCCTCATAATGTCTCTCATATCATTCTTTACATCATGTGTGTCACTATTATGTTGTGTAGAAGTGTGTGTGTGTGTGTGTGTGTGTGTGTGCGTGTGTGTGTGTGTGTGTGTGTGTGTGTGTGTGTGTGTGTGTGTGTGTGTATACTCACCCACCTAGTTGTGCTTGCGGAGGTTTAGCTCTGGCTCTTTGGTCCCGCCTCTCAACTGTCAATCAACTGGTGTACAGGTTCCTGAGCCTACTGGGCTCTTTCATATCTACGTTTGAAACTGTGTATGGAGTCAGCCTCCACCACATCACTGCCTAATGCATTCCATTTACTAACTATTGACACTGAAAAAATCTTTCTAATGTCCATGTGGCTCATTTTGACACTCAGTCTCCACCTCATACGAGTCATAAATACGCATGCTCCGCCCAAGTAAAACAGAAACAAGCAACACTTAGTGGGCCAGCCAGAGGCTTGGGGCCCGCGCAGGAATATCCCTGCAAAAAAAGGACTCCACCTGTGTCCCCTTATTCGCGTCCCACCTGTGTGGAACCCACTACTCATCTACATAAGTAAAGACCCACTACTCATCTACATAAGTAAAGACCCACTACTCATCTACATAAGTAAAGACCCACTACTCATCTACATAAGTAAAGACCCACTACTCATCTACATAAGTAAAGACCCACTACTCATCTACATGAGTAAGTAGAGACCCACTACTCATCTACACGAGTGCGTAA